TGGTATGGTATGGTATGGTATGGTATGGTATGGTATGGTATGGTATGAAATGGTATGGTATGGTATGAAATGGTATGGTATGGTATGAAATGGTATGGTATGGTATAGTATGGTATGGTATGGTATGTTATGGTATGGTATGGTATGGTATGGTATGGTATGGTATGGTATGGTATGGTATGGTATGAGAGCCATTGGCTACAAAGATGCAGATGAACGGTTTGAATATTAATTCAAATTGCGGCCGTACTCAGTAGCGACTTCTGATTTTAAAAGTAGCGAAGCAGATTACATGGTCTAAATTGTACTTAAGTATGAATAAAATTACACACTTGAAAGAAATGCTCATAAAAGTACAAGTACCCAAAAAAATCTACTTAATTACAGTAATGTGAGTTTTGTAATTCATTACTTCCACCCCGTTAGCGATAAACAACCATTCACTCTCTCTCTCTCACCTAGAGACAATTTAGAGTTACCAGTCAGCCTAACGTGCATGTTTTTGGTCTGTGGGAGGAAATCGGAGTACCCCGAGAAAACTCATGCAGCACGGAGATAACATGCAAACTCCACCCAGAAATGCCTCGGGCCGGGATTTGATCCGGCAACCTTCTCGCTGAGAGGCAACAGCTCTACAAACTGCATCACCAATGGCTAAATTAAAGAACCACATACACTTCTTGTTATTTACTTATAAATTACTTTTAGTCAGTTTCTGCAAACTATTTAAATCTCCTCCTACAAAAACCGTAACGTGAAAGGTTAACGGTGGCACTGCCATGTTTTCATCTTCTACACTTTTTAACCTGTTTTAACGCGTTTTACATCATTTAAAAAAGCCGGACTAAAGCCTTCAAAGCTATGAAGTTGTTTTTGCTGCACCTCTTGTGTTTGAGGTGTGACGGATGACTAAAGCAGGAAGGTAATTCCAGTAAAGGTGACACAGGTTAGCTGTGACCGACTCCACGTTTCTAATGCGACTAGACATGAACAACCAGCTGTCGTTCAGATTTCCTGGTGGAACATCTTTCCAGTCTACTTGAAAATTAGTCATGACGTTTAAAACTGTTTACACGTGCGTTACACTTTAGCTGCAGCACATTCGTTGTACGTCACGGAGATCACAAACAAGTTGTGGAAAACAAAAGGGTGAGGCGGAGCGAAGAGTTTTTAATAAGACAGAAACCAACACCGAAAATGATTCAAGGGTTGTTGGTTATTGTTACGCAGTGGTTGGGAAGTGTGGTTTCAAGTAAATTAGAAGAATTAAATTAAAGAATGGGAATCGGTTTGTTTGTGGACCCTCAGATTGAAGAAGTCCTTTGGGTGAAGGAAGAAACGTCTCAGCAAAAAAAGAAACCGTCCAGATGACCTGACTGAACGTTGGTGGATTTTGACCTGGATTATTGAGCATGAACTTTGGTGTAGAACAATTAAAGTTTTTTGTCAATGGAATTAGAATTCATTGAGAATCAGTATAAAAATATAAAAAAAAACACATTTATTGTCCCCCGTCATCGAGCGTTGAGGGGGAAATGGAAATACGATGCGCCCATCAGTCCATCCAAACATGTTGTGAGCACGATAACATGGAAACTATTGAAGTACCAACTTCCGTTTAGGCGTGTGGCAACGTCTAGGAGAAAAGAAAGGTGCCCTTTGAAAAATGGGTTGCCATGTCAAAATCCAAGATGGCCACCATGCGTGTAATCTGGCCACCCCAATCATTTGAGGAAACTATACTTTAAAGCAATATAAAAACTAGAAAGCAGAGTTTCCTCAAACGATTGGGGTGGCCAACAATTAATCTGTGGTGGCCAAGGCCACCAGTGGCCACCCCCTGGCTCCACCATTGTGCCTGGTGGTGGATACAATTGCTTCCTTATCAGGTCCTGTCAATCTGTGCTACGTCAGACAGGCAACAAAACAAAAATGCCTCTATTCTTCTCCGCAACTCTTACTCGCGTGAATATCTTGCACCACAAACATTAAGGTTTACTTGTATTCTCCGTTCAGTTCCAGTCCAGAAAAACTTGACAAACTCATCTCGAAGACTTCAAAACGTTCACAAAACAAATCCCTCAGCGACAGCGGATATGGGCCCTTTTACAGTCAACGTGATCTGCCATAAATCAGATCAGATTACTGC